TGAGTTCGGGGGGGGATGCAGTCAACGCGTGTAACTAGGATGCGCGATAAGGATGCAAGGGTCTTGGACGCCCATTTCGAAGCTTTTCGAGCGGGGCGCGGCCAGCGAAAGCGGCCAAGGATGGGCCGAGGAGGCAAGGACGCAAGGGTGCCCTCGGGAAGGTTGCCTATCCTTACTATGCGGGTTGGCTGTAGAGCGAGAATCTATGAGATCCAGCGGCTCTGGGCAATGCCTCGGGCGCCGCGGCCTTCTTAGAGCGTTTCAGAACGCTCTGAGAGCGTTCTGGAGCGCTCTGGAACGGATGTATACTCGGGGGCGGCCAAGAGGGGGGCGTCCAAGAGGGGGGGGAACCAAGTCATGGCAAGCGGCATGTGCGCGGCCCAAGGGGATGAAATAAGAAGAGGCGCCATGAAATCTGGGGAAGTATCATGGCCCCCGCCATGATATCCACCCCTCCCCAGTCATCACCCCACTCTTGGCCGCCCCCGAGCACACTCGTCCTAGCCCCGTCAGACCTGCCCCCGTCGTGGGCGAACGACGTACGGTCGGGAACTTTTGCTCCGTGCGTCGCCAGGGCGGCCGCTGCGGCACGCTATGCCCTGCAAGCGGATCGCGTGTCGCTGCGCTACGCGGGGCGGGAGGCTGCGAAAGACTCGGGACGCTGACGCTGGGCCGGGTGTTGCTAGAAGTGCCCCTGGCCCAAGGTGCCCCCAGCTTTTCGCTGCATTCTGAAGGCCCCTGCGGCCCTCTGGGCCTCGCGAGGGGTGCTCTGGAGGCCATGGGGGCCTTCTTGGGAATCCTGGGGGCACCTTGGGCCAAGGGCACTTCTAGCAACACCCGACTGCGGGGCCGGGAAGTGGACAACTAGCGTGTTGCACCGAAGGTGGCGGGCCAGAACCGGCAAGGCGACACGCTATCCAAACATCCCCGACCGCATCCGTCTCCGCGGCTTCGCGGGCCGGACCCCTGGGCCGCGACACCGCGGATACGGCGCGTCACTGTTCACGGATGCCCCGCGCGGATCGCATCCGTGCGACCGCGTATCCGCGGGATCGCGCCGCGGAATCCAAACCGCGAGGGCGTGGATGCGAACACGTTCGCCGCTCGTGGCACTCCTCACCTCGAGAACCTCCCCAGCCCCTCCTCCTGCTACTACAGTTAGGTCGGGCATGTTCCCCTACAGGCGGTTTTTGGACGAACAATTGAAAGTAGTTTGAAAAAATACACCGAAATGGACCCAAATCATCAAAACATCGTCCCCCGACTATTTTTGATCATATTTGAATATTCCCCCTGTGCAGGGACACGCCCGACTTAATACTACAGCCATCGTGCTACCACCAGGGCCGCTGAATAGGGAGCGAAAGGCCCTTTCTGGCCGTGGTGAACCTCGGCCAGGAATAGTTTGAATGCCCCAAGTCCAAGAAAGTGCCCGAAAAACAAATCCCCCCCTGAGCCCAACGCGGTCCTCCTTTCAGCTTCTTCACTGCGCCACGACGAGAGCCGCAAGAGGAACGGAAGCCCTCTTGGGCACGAAAAGCGCCTGGGTGGACGAGGAGCAGTGGAGCGCTCTCAGGAGCGGTCAGCATCTACTCGGTAAATCAGATCGGATCGAAACGTGCATCGGACCAGGCCGCATCGGCACGGAGCCAGAATCTGAGCGGATCGGCTGAAACAAATCGACGCACCGGGTCGTTGGAAAACCAAACTCGGATAGGATCGAGCCCAGCGACCTCGAAATCGAATACGTATGGTCGACCGAATCGCAGTGGGTCATATCCCTCCTCCTCACTCCGGGGTAATGTAGGACTCGAGTCTGGGGCACTCGAATTTGCCTGACGGAGTCGCTGAGAAGTGACAGGGCATGGTTTGGAATCTGACGCGGGCTCTCGCTGCAACCATCTGACGAAAACGGGACCGTTCACAATTACGCCCAGGTTATAAAAATCGGCGGCGCACGCGAGTCCTCGCAGACTCGAATCTTACGCTTCCCCGATAGATCCTCCTCCTCCTCCTCCTCCTCCTCCTCCTCCTCCTCCTCCTCTCCTCCTCTCCTCCTCTCTCATCCTCTCTCCGCCTCTCCCCTCCTCCTCCTCCTCCTCCTCCTCCTCCTCCTCCGCCTCCTCCTCCTCCAACCTACTGCTGCTGTTCCTCCTCCTCTCTCCTCCTCCTCCCTCCTCCTACTCCTCCTCCTCCTTCTCCTCCTCCTCCCCCGCCTCCTTCTCCTCCTCCTCCTCCTCCTCCTCCTCCTCCTCTCTCTCCTCCTCCTCTCCTCCTCCTCCTCCTCCTCCTCCTCCTCCTCCTCCTCCTCCTCCTCCTCCTCCTCCTCCTCCTCCTCCTCCTCCTCCTCCTCCTCCTCCTCAGACGTAGCCTCGGAAGGAATTCGTCCACTCTAGCCCTCACAGGGCTCAGCTTGCTGCAGGAACTGCGATCTTGCGAGCACATTGATGTAAAACCTCCTCGTCGATGCCATTGAACCGACGGACCGAATTGTACAAATAAAACGCGATAATGAGCCGCTCGAGCGCTCTCAGTCTCTGGGGCTCCGACATTTCTCGAGCGAGACCGAGGCGACGATCGAGAAACACTTCAATGGGCTCCTGGGGCCACCACACTGAGAGCACCGCCCCCCAGAGGTACGGGCACGCCATGTAATGAGCTTGCGCGTCCACGGCGCCCGTGCATCCGAATTTGCAGCGGCAGTCGGTCTGCGTCATCCTCCTCTCCGTCGCCCACCCACCCACCATAGTTTTGATGGCCGAATGTTGCCACGCAGGGCAAGCTAGCCGAGCACTCACGAAGCGCAGGCCAGCTCGCCCCCGCACGAGCCCGACGGGATGGGGTCCGAGACGCCCATTTGGCCAGGCGCCTCCAGATGATGGGGGCAAAATCTTCTACGCAAAGAGAGCTGGCCAAGGATCTGGCGAGAGTGCGCTGCACAGGGACGCGTGGGTCGACCCGCTGCGCCTCGTCGAGAGCTCCGAGGGCCACCGCGACCGCCGACCTCAGGTAGGCCACACCATTAAACCCTCGATCCGCTCTCGCCAGCTCCTGGACACACGGAGGTGACTGCCAGTGCGCAGGCGACCAGACATCAGCCAGCCACATCGTCATCGGGAGAGCCGACTCTGCAACCTTCTGGAGCCTGGACCAGAGCGGTCTCCAGTTCGCGACCGTGCACCTGGCGGTGCGGATCATCGCGGCCACCGACTGGGCCTGCATGGAAAGAGGCCTCAACTTCGACCAGTGACGCAATGCAAGCAATTGGTCTAGCGGCATCGAACACGGCGGGAGATGCAATATCTTATGCAATGCCCAGGACTCCCACTTTGCTATGGCTCTGGGTAGCGGGCTCAACTGCGCCAGATAACTGAATGTTGAAACAACACGCGAATTGTACATGTACCGCGCCACCGACGGTGGCGCACTGGTCTCTGCGATGCTCCTCGCCACCCCCACCCACTCCCGAAACGCCCTCGCCCACGCGTGGTTCGTCGCAGCAGGACCAGATCATACTCCTAAATATTCGGCAGCATCTACGATCGGGATCGATCGCCACCGCGGGACTAGCTTGGCCAATCGCTCCTGGACTGTCAATTGGAGGGAGGAGGAGAAGGCCTCAGAGACGGGGACGAGGCGACATTTGGGGATCTTGAGAGCGAGGCCAGCTAGAAAATCCGCGGCATGAAAAAAAAACACCTGAAAGCCTGGATAGGGCCTGCAGCTCAGCCACCGTCGCACCGATGTCGTCCGCGCAGGCTCCGATTTCACATCATGGATGTTTACGAAGCCTGGAGCGCATGTCTCTCAGGAAAGGATCCATAGCGAGGGCCCGCAGTGTACCTGAGGCGGGGTCTCCTTGCATCACGCCAGACATGATCGCGCAACATGCCCACAACTGCCCTAGAACCGCCGTCCGAGACATCGCAAAGGCATATGTGGCTTGGGCAAACTGAAGGAGCCCTGTCGGGTAGCCACAACGCTCGAGCACTGCCCAGAGGAAGGAGTGGAGGAGGGAGGGGAAGGCACCACCGAAGTCGAGAAAGAGGAGACAGGGGAGACGTGAACTGGCTTCTGGGTGCATACTGGCTATGCGTGCCGAAGTGTCGAGCAATGTGATATTATCTAAAAAGTTTCTCTGCACTAGAAATCCGCGCTGGTCAGGGTGAGCCTGCTGCGCAACCTGTCTCTTCACCCCTTCGTTACGCGCCGAAGCCAGAATTTTCACATCTGAGTTCTTCAGCGCCAAGGGTCTCGTGTTCTGTGGCTCACGTAGCACAAAGGACGCATCCTGCTCCCGTCTACCCTTGGGGGCGAAAATCAGGAGGGGGTCGTTCAAAGAGGTAGGAGGAGGATACCCACTCAGCAGCTCAATCAGGAGCCCATATAAGACTTCCGGCGACATCGGACTGTGCTGCCACGCAGCATAGGGGAGTCAATCTGGCCCGGGGGCCGTCGGTTTAGCCCGTTCGATTACACTGGCAATCGAATAAACCGTGGGCGGTGCCACATCCGAAAAATCAAATCGCTTCACATGCTTGTCAAGATAGGTCTTTAGATGGCTTCGCGAAACAGGGCGGGGCGCAAAGACGGGGCCCCAATGGTTCCGAAGAGACTTGACCATAGCCGAGGAGGAGGTAACCACCGAACCGTCAGGAGCGAGAAGGCCCTGGAGAGGGAGCGTCATGCCCTTCGGAGCCCATAGCTTCCCCCTGCGCCTCTCCGCTCGCGCGTAAGCACGCAAACGTTTCTTCTCAGCCCAGCTGGGTGGGTCTTTCGCCCGGGTCTCCGACCTGCGAACTCTGTCCTCAGAAATATCCCGCTGCAGCGCCTCATATTTCCTACGAAAGTCCATGGGCCAAACAAGAGACACAACCTGCTCCGGCGAGATCGATAACAGCTCAGATGGGAGGGGGCCTGACGCTAGCAACGTGCGAGCTAGCCTGACATCATTGAAATGAACTGCGCGCGCAATGGAACGAAAAAAGAACTAGCTTCGCCTCCAGCGGAGGCGAGCGCATGCTCACGAGCTTGTTACGCGTCAGACGAGCCGCTTCCCTCAGCAGTCTCTTGTACTCCGCCCACTTGGGGATCGCCTGCAGGCTGTGCATGTACGAGTGGCCCATCAGCAGGTCTAAGAAGTACTTGAACTCTGGCTGCTTGCATATGAAGGGAGGCGCAGGCTGATCCTCCTCTGGCTTCAAATCCCTGGGGGCGAAGCTTATCTGCACAAGTAAGTGATCCGATATGCCTTCAGCGAACAACTCTTCTGGCGGGTAGGCAACTGTTGCAGCAATCGACCATTGAATCAGTACCCAAGGTGGCGTACTTATGAATACTCTATCCAGCTGTGTTAAGCGTTGATCATCTTTGAAAAAGTGCGTGGGCAGCTCTGGGCCAAGTTCTGTCATCCCCGAGAAGGCAGCCGCCCATGCGTCACCGAACTCTCTTTGACGGGTAGGGTGTACCAAGCCTTTGTCAATCTCAGGAACATGAAGGTGCATCGCCGCCGTCTCCGCATAGTTGAAGCCACCCACTGCGAGAACAGTCGTCCTGTGCGGACTTTGGGCTGCCACAGAAGACTCCGCTGAGAACCTGGCTGCAATCGTATCCACCTGCCCCCTAGCCAACCCGAAGTTGTGGATGTTGTACACTATGGTCATAGTGTCAGCACGATGCTCATTAGCTCTCGCCTTGATCATGATACGGTGGGCCCTGCCTTGGACCAAGATCTCATGTTTCAATCTTCCAACTCGGATCGCCTCCTCCGCCTCCATCCGGGACATCTGTGATATGATAATCGCTACACCTCCCGAGTCATGCTGCGGAACCGATCCCAGCACCGCCCCAGGAATGCGATGAAGATAACAATGATGCTTGAGCTCCTCCAGCGTTCCATGTACTTCCTGCAAACAAATGATCGCCTGACGCCTGCATATCATAGCGAGCTTCCTGAACTTCTTGCGCCGAACCTCTGGCTTGTGGTGAAGAAGAGCTCTGCCATTCCACGATGTAGTCTGAATCTGCGTTGCTGGGAATGCACGATAGTTCTCGTGCCATGTATCCAACGTGCTGCTAAATACTCCACTTGATTTCTTGCTCTGAATGGAAACGAGAATTGAAAGCCGCCAACAGAGTCGTCTTGTCCACACCATGTTGTTGGACCACGTTGTAGTTCCACCGCCGTGATGAAGGCTGATCTTTCTGTAATCCTGTCTGGATCTGCACGCAGGGAACCCCATCCAGAAATACAATCCCTTTGGACCTGTCGAAGCGGTGTCGTAATCCTGGATAGGCGCCACGAAGGAGCTGTGCCACAAATTTCGTCTGAATTTCTGCGTTGGCTTGTTTCGCTGACTTATCACATCCAACAAATACTCTAGAGGTACCGTTCTCGATTGTCTTCGCCTCGAAGGATCTCCATTCACCATCTTTCCTGGGAGCCCTGCGCGCATGTGCAGCCCGTCTGGAGGCCGCGCCAACATCACCCGCGAACTGGATGACGTACCTTCGAGATGGTGAGGGACCCACAACTTTCCACTTGTCCGACTCAATGTTGGCCTCCTCCAGCCACGGGGTAATGGCACGCTTGAGCTCCTCCACTGCCACATTCGCCGAGGTGTTCGCACATAAAACTGTGGTGTCGGGATCGCGATCCCATTCAACCATTGAGCCAAAATCTTTGATAGGTACGGTACTCTCTGCAACGTATAGAGCTTCTCTGATATGCTTGAGCTGCTCTTTGAAGTCATTCTGAGTCTGCTCCGTGACCTGCTGCCTGGCTCTGACCTCCTCCAACTCCGAACGAAGCTGGAAAGTAGTTTTTTTCTTGCCGGGCCGCCACCGCCTTGACCAGAGACTCTGTACGGGACGATACCGATGCCACGATGCCCCCCTTGAGGCCAGAGATCTGCTCTGTGATGGACTTCTGCATGGCGGACTTGAACTGGGCGAACATCGCGGCGACATCGGAGGGGTCCCCGTTGAAGTCGTCCAGGTCCTCCACGTCCACCTGCTTGCCCGAGTCCCCGAAGCTGTCCCCAGGCGGGAGCGGGGTGGACTGGGTACTCTGCGGGGTGGCAGGCGCAGGGGCGTCCCTGCCAGGGGCAAGTTGTTGCCTTCCCCCACCAGCAGCACCTTTGCCACGCCAGGGGTCAGCGTCTCCAGCCAGCGGATCGCCACCAGGATGATCAGCAGAAGCACGGCCCCGACCCGAGGCGCGCGGCGGCCGTGCGGCGGGCGGCTCAGCCCCCGCGGGGCGGGCAGGCGACCGCGAGGAGGAACGCTCGCCTCTGCCGCCATCGCCGCCAGGCATCGGGAGCGGGGCCCGAGCAGGTGGAAAGCTGGGCCGAAAAGCCGGTGGAAGTGAAAATGGAATGATCGGTGCTGCAACCAACAGCAGGAATCGGTGTGTTACGGACCTCCTCCTCCTCCTCCTCCTCCTCCTCCTCCTCCTCCCCTTCCTCCTACTTATTCGTCCTCTTATTATACTTATTATTATTATTACTATTATTATTATAATATTATTATTAGTAGTATTATTAGTATTATTAATAATATTATTACTATTATTATTATTATTATTATTATTATTATTATTGTTATTATTATTATTAGCATTATTATTATCATTATTAGTACTAGTATTAGTATTCGTTTTCTTATGAATATTATTATTATGACTAATACTATCATTGATGTTATTACTGTTAGTATTCGTATTAATATTGCTAGTAGTGTTATTAGTATTGTTATTCCTCTTCTTCTTCCTCGTCTTTTTCCTCTTCGTCTTCTTCTTCTTCCTCCTCCTCCTCCTCCTCCTCCTCCGCCTCCGCCTCCTCCTCCGCCTCCGCCTCCGCCTCCGTCTTCGCCTCCGCCTCCTCCTCCTCCTCCCGCCTCCTCCTCCTCCGCCTCCGCCTCCGCCTCCGCCTCCGCCTCCTCCGCCTCCGCCTCCTCCTCCTCCTCCTCCTCCTCCTCCTCCGCCTCCGCCTCCGCCTCCGCCTCCGCCTCCCGCCGCCGCCTCCTCCTCCTCCTCCTCCTCCGCCTCCTCCTCCTCCTCCTCTCCTCATCCTCCTCCTCCTCCGCCTCCTCCTGCTCCTCCTCCCTCCTCCTCTCTCCTCCTCTCTCCTCCTCCTCCTCCTCCTCCTCCTCCTCCTCCTCCTCCTCCTCCTCCTCCTCCTCCTCCTCCTCCTCCTCCTCCTCCTCCTCCTCCTCCCCCCCCGCCTCCTCCTCCTCCACCTACTGCTGCTGCTCCCTCCTCCTCCTCCTCTTCCTCCTCCTGCTCCTCCTCCTCCTCCTCCTTTTCCCTCCGCCTCCTCCCGCCTCCTCCTCCTCCTCCTCCTCGTCCTCCTCCTCCTCGGCTCTCTCTCCCTCCTCGGTTCTGTCCTCCTCCTCATCCTCCTCTTCTTCTTCTTCTCTCCCTCCTCCTCCTCCTCCTCCTTCGCCTCCTCCTCCTCCTCCTCCTCCTCCTCCTGGGCTCTCTCCTCCTCGTCCTCCTCGTCCTCGTCGTCCTCCTCCTGCTCCTCCTCCTCCTCCTCCTCCTCCCCATCCTCCTCCTCCTGCCCCTCCTCTTCCTCCTCATCCTCCGCCACAATGACGGGCCGGCTGTACTGGCCGTTCAGTAGGGGGGGGCTACTTGTAGTGAAAAGGAAGACTTGCAGGGCGTATGAAGAAAGGATTTGGAAAGGGACGGTGTATTGCAGCATCGCTGATGCATCTTTGGTTTACTCTAGCCCTCACTGCTCCTCCTCCTCACTCCTCGTCGTCCTCCTCCCTCCCCTGACAGCATCGCGTCGCGAAAAAATCACGACGGAGGGTGATCCACAATGTTTGCCCTCTGGGGGTGCCCTCACCAGGCCCCGGGGCCGTCAAAAAACGACTCGAAATGCGAAGTTGGTCCTGGGGGCAGGCCCCGGGGTCCAGGACTCGCATCCGTCATGGCAGTCGCGGCCACCTCTGCCCCCGCGTACAGCCAGATGCGAGGGCCTTGGAGGGCCATGTTAACGTTCTTCGACGGGGTTGGCCAGCGAAAGTCGGGAAGGATGGGCCGAAGGAGCAAGGATGCAAGGATACTCCAGATTCCATAATAAAGTGGGGGGGTCACATTTGGAGGGGGTGTGATTTGAACTGTCTCGGAGGGTGCGGGGGCGGGTCTGGGCAACGGGCCGCCCTTTCATGGATGTTCGGTGGGGGTCTAAAACTTCTCGTCTGGGAGGGTTGTGACCCCCTCCCGCTGGCGGTGCGGGCATTGGATAAGGAACCCTGAGATCTGGAATCCAGGGCCTGGAGGGCGGTGGAACTTCCATCGAATCCTGGCCGTGGACATCACAGCCGCCCTCATCAGATGAGGAATCCTGAAGGGTCTGCAGCCTGCTGGGCGCATTCCTTAACCAACGCCCCCACCGTATCATGGGGAAGAAAAAAAAGGTACCGATACCGCTACTCCCTGGACCTCCCCTGGGGTGCGTTCAGAACAGAATCTCGAGGCGAACCCAACGGTGGCGACGAGGGCCTCCGAGGAGGCCCGAAAAGGGGAAAACGGTCGACAGGTAGCGGTATTGGTACCTCTTCCTCATCCGATTATTATGGGAGGCGCATTCCTCAACCAACACCCCCACCGTAACCTTTGGAAAGTCGCTCCTTACCGTGCGGGCAAACTGCAGAGAGCGCTGGAGAGGGAACGAATGGGGCAGGCGTGTCCGGCCACGGCGAACCCCAGCCACGCCTACGCTCCCTGCCTCAGGCCTGCGAAGCGGCCCCAAACATGAGGTCGGGCATGTCCTCCTACAGGCGGACTTTGTTCCCCCCGCCCCCCCAAAAAACTCGACAAATCCGCAAGAACCCTCCACAAAAATTAGTTAAACCAAAAAATCCTCCCCAGACTATGTTTTGACTACTTTGGAATATTCCCCTGCAGAGGGACAAGCCCCTCTTAACCCCCAAACCAGATCCCTCCCGCGACCAAGGCGGCCCTTATGTTAGCGCCGTGGCTGCGCGTGTCGCAAGCCAGGACGGGGCCCAGACCTCTGGGGAGCCACGCTGTGAGAGAAAGGCAGGACGCCCCCAGACTTAGATGTTCTTAAAAACTCTGGGGGCGTTGTTTGTCTGTTTTCAAGATCGACGTTTTTCCGTTTGGGGAGCAATGTTCTTTCCGTTTTGGGATTGCCGTCTCGCCGTTTTCGGTTTGTTTAGCGTTCCGTCTTTGAAATGTTTTCCACTGCCGCTTTGTGTCCGTTTTCGTCGCGGCGTGGCAGCAGAGTTCTGTCTAGTTTGGTTTGTTTCTGTTTAGTTTCTCCGTGTTGTTGTTGTTGTTGTTGTTGTTGTTTGGGGCTGCCGTTTGTTTTGTTTTGTTTTGTTTTGGCCCCGGCAGATGTCGTTGTGTTTATGTTTTCGGCTGCCGTTTTGTTCTGTTTTTTCTCGACCGCACCACCAAAAGTTGAAAACGGCCAAAAAAACGCCCCCAGCGTATTTCAGAACGACTAAGCCTCCAGAGATCCGATGCACTGATTCTCCCCATGCGCGGTCCCCCGAAGCCCCGACCCTTTCCGCTGGGCCGGCTTTCCACTCGGAGTCGTTTCTTGACGGTCCCGGGGCCCGGCGAGGGCCCCCAGAGGCCGAAGACTGCGAGAAGCCTCCGGACCAGTGCTCCATACGTTCGAGGTCTGGGTCAGATCTGCGGGCCCCGGCCTCCCCCATCGCCGCCTCCCTGGCCACGGCCAGGCTCGCGTTCTCCTCGGGCGCTCGCGCGCGGAGGGAGGGGGGACGCTCTGGGGCCAGGCCCGCGCGGCGCGCGCGAGCGCGCGCGCCAGGGCACCGCGGCGCGCCTCTGGGGGCGCGCACTGCTCGCGCAGAGGGGCGGCATGCCGCGCGGGTCGCGTGCAGAGAAGAGGGCGCACAGGGACATGCTGGTGCGATGCGCCTCACATGGAGGCGCACGTCCGAACCCGAACACGCAGTACAAGCAATCCGGGCGAAGGACCCAGCCATCATATGCGGTGTGAGGACCGCAGTGCCGTCTTCGGCGGAGCTCCCCATGGGGGCGCGAAACGCGTGAGGGGTGTACCGAAATGGGGCGTAAAACCGCCTGCGAGCCCTGCCATTGGGGTCCTTCGGTGGAGCTCCCCGTGGGGAGAGGGGGTGGGGGGAGCGAAACGTGTAAGGGGTGCGTCGAAATAGGGCGTGGAACAGCATGCGTGAGCCCTGCTACCTGGGGCCTCCAGCGGAGCTCCCTGTGGGTGGGCGAGACGTGTGAAGGGGTGCGCCGAAATGGAGGGTGGAACTGCCTGCGAGCCGTGCCGTTGCGGCCTGCGGTGGAGCTCCCTAGCGGGGCACGAGACGTGCGATGGGGTGTGCCGACGTCGGAGGTAGTACCGCATGCGAACCCTGCCACCGGGGCCTTCGGCGGAGCTCCCCGTGGGGGCACGAAGCGTGCGATGGGGTGTACCGAGATATGGACATGCGCAGGGCAGAGGCAGGGAGGGGCAGGAGGGAGGGGGAGGAGGGCGCGAGGAGGCGAGGCGCGTGGCGCCGTCTCTTCAAAACCAAGGCCCACCACCACAGGATTGTTAGGAAAAACTGTGAAAGGGGCCCGGGGGCACACAAATAAATGCACACAAATCCCAGGATCCCCAATATCTTCTCAAATCTTCTGGGTTTTCGTCTTCCCCCCCACTTCCCATATTTTCCCATATTTTCCAGGGAATCGACGATTAATTGTGTCTCTGTGTTTTTCCCCTCCTGAAACTATCCCGACGAAGGGCCCAACTATATGCAGTTATGAATGCCGCGTTGTGACACCGCTTTCGGTGGAGCTCCCTATGGGGCGACGAAACATGCGAGAAGTATGCCGAAATGGGCGGGGAAACGGATGCGGGCCCTGACACTGAGGCACACGGCGGAGCTGGAGCCACGAAACGTGTGAGGAGTATGCCGAGATGGCAGGCGGAACAGCATGCGAACGCAGCCACTGGGGCCTTCGGTGGAGCTTCATATGGGGCCACGAAACGTGAGAGGAGTGTGCCGAGATGGCGGGTGGAACTGCATGCGAACCCTACCACGGGG